TGTTATTGAAGTACTGCAGCGGACCATCCAGCGTGTTGTCAATGATACTGGGGGCGGACGTCGCCAGCAGCTTGGCGCCTAATATCACGAGAACAGCCATGGCAGCACTCCACAGCACGACGTAAATGACCCACATCCAGAGAAAGCAGCGGGACGCGTCACTGCTCCGCCCTGGCTTCGGCTGACAGCAGGAGTGACAGCAGGCAACGCTGAGAAAAACAAGCGGGAAGCTCAGCAGAGTCACAACGAACAGCAGCGCACAAACCCCCGGATAAACAAGGTAGCGCCACTGCCCCTTTATGCGGTCGGTGTTGGACAGGCATTTTAAGACGTCGTTGTCGATGCTGGGGCCATCCCACACCTTTTGGCAGTCGAGTGAGCGCTGGGCAGATGCAACGGCGGGCGCGACCACGAGAAGCGCCAGCAGTGTCGCCGCTGCAAGCGCAGTTGCTTTGCCAGAGGGCATTCGTCGGCCTTATTTTGTGCTTTTGTGTGGCTTCGCTCTGGTGTGTCTTGGGCGGAGGACAAAGAGGCGCAAAGACAAAAACAACAAACAAATGGAGGAAAAAAGAGCAGGCAGTCAAGCGGCGCCACTCAGGCATGCACAAGGCGGCCACGCCCCAACCCAGACCGCAGCGCATCAACAATACTCCTCCGCAAGGAGAAACTCCGTCAGCCGCACGTACACATCCCTCTGCGTGCTGCTCAGGCGGCGCACGTCCATGTCCGCGTCGCATGCCTCACGGCCACAACACCTCAAGCGCCCTTTTGCCGCGCGCCGCAGCTGCCGGTGCCCCTAATTCACCCGTATAAAGAGAGCAGAGACAGCGGTGCAACAAAAGTAGTGTGGGAAAGGGCTGTAAAACAGGGAAACTCCTCCATCTTACACATATCCGGGAGAAATAAGCATCGCGCATCCAATTCTTATAATTCGTTTTTTTCGCATTCCTGAGCTCCCTCGTTGGGGACCGTTCGAAACAAACCAGCACTCACATATTGACTAATATATATATATATATATATACATCAAGGAGACACATAGATATACACAAAAAAAGACAGTATATATTCAAATAAATCTGTATATTTATCCGTTTCAAAAATGCGCACCTTTTATCGTATGCCACGCGTATTTTCTACATATTTCATCCTCGGTCTTAACATTACCAACAAATCACAAACATCAATCAGCCGGAAAAAAAAAATCGTCGAGAAAATGAGGTCACGCACGCAAAAATAGGAAAAGAAAAAAGACAACGTCAAGAAAACATACACTCAACTACTCTGGGCAGCATTTACCGACCCTGACCCGTTTAGACCACGAGGGCTCCTACCCTGTTTGATTGACCGGGCGTCCCAAATGCAGGAGCCGCGGAACATGATGTAGATGGCCAGACCAAACATCAGTCCCCCAACAAAGAAGCCAGTGCCAAGCATCAGGGTCCCCGCCTTCAGTTCGTTGCAGTCACTCATGGCTCCCAGAAGCTTGTCCACCACAAAATTGCAGTCGAGCAACGGCCTGGCGTACGACAGCGCAATGCTCGCGTTGCTTGCCTGCGCCGCAAGCTGCAGAATCACTGACGCCACTGCTTTGACGTCTGTGTTGGTGCAGTTGGCGGCGCACTCAAACAGCGTGCACGATTCGCCCGCCACGGGACACGCCATTGTGAAGGCCTTGACCCGGGTAGCACTCAGCACGCTGGCCATGGTGCCAAAGTTGGGGCACTGATCCTCCGATGTGATGTCGTTGCCGCACAGCAAGGGCTTAAATGAAATGGGCTTGTTATCGCAAGACTTGAGCAATTTCTTGCACGCGTCTTCGGAGAACCGCCGCTCCGCATCATCCGTCTCCCTGTTGATATCAGAAAAGTCAAATGTCTGCTCACAGTACGGCACAAGATACCACTGGAACACACCCGGCTGCCGTTGTTGCTGCAGCTCCACCTCGCCACAGGCGGCCCAAGAGAGATACGTCAGCACCGTCACCACAACCGCGAGCAGTGCAAACACAACCCCGAAGAGCCAGTAGATGCAGGAGAATAAATATGTTGTGCACGGGATGCCGCAGCGGCAACAGGCCAACAAAACCACAAGAAGCATTAGCACAACACCCACGCCACCGACACAGTACGACACAATCGGTATCCATCCAATGTACTTCGAAATCTTGTGCTTGGCATCCATGAGTAAATCGGTCACTTTGGTGCTGATGTTGGTGAAGGCAGTGATGTCCAGGTCGATGGAAGGTATGGGCTCACGCTTACCCGAGGACCAGTTGGACGTGAAATCAATGATCCTCTCAGCCGTGTTATTGAAGTACTGCAGCGGACCATCCAGCGTGTTGTCAATGATACTGGGGGCGGACGTCGCCAGCAGCTTGGCGCCTAATATCACGAGAACAGCCATGGCAGCACTCCACAGCACGACGTAAATGACCCACATCCAGAGAAAGCAGCGGGACGCGTCACTGCTCCGCCCTGGCTTCGGCTGACAGCAGGAGTGACAGCAGGCAACGCTGAGAAAAACAAGCGGGAAGCTCAGCAGAGTCACAACGAACAGCAGCGCACAAACCCCCGGATAAACAAGGTAGCGCCACTGCCCCTTTATGCGGTCGGTGTTGGACAGGCATTTTAAGACGTCGTTGTCGATGCTGGGGCCATCCCACACCTTTTGGCAGTCGAGTGAGCGCTGGGCAGATGCAACGGCGGGCGCGACCACGAGAAGCGCCAGCAGTGTCGCCGCTGCAAGCGCAGTTGCTTTGCCAGAGGGCATTCGTCGGCCTTACTTTGTGCTTTTGTGTGGCTTCGCTCTGGTGTGTCTTGGGCGGAGGACAAAGAGGCGCAAAGACAAAAACAACAAACAAATGGAGGAAAAAAGAGCAGGCAGTCAAGCGGCGCCACTCAGGCATGCACAAGGCGGCCACGCCCCAACCCAGACCGCAGCGCATCAACAATACTCCTCCGCAAGGAGAAACTCCGTCAGCCGCACGTACACATCCCTCTGCGTGCTGCTCAGGCGGCGCACGTCCATGTCCGCGTCGCATGCCTCGCGGCCACAACACCTCAAGCGCCTCCACAACTGCAGGAAGGAACCATACTTGCACGCAAGCTGTGTCGCAAACCCGGACGAGCATCCACGAACACAAATAAGCATGCGGGCAAAGGTGGTGCGCGCGCGGAGTGCTCGCTTTATCCTCGCGGTCACGTTGAGGCAGGTCGCACAGTCGGCCAGCTGTGGTGGTCGTGCGCCACTCCGCGCGGCATTTGCCAGCGCCGTGACGTGGGCAACTCCAAGGGAGCGCAACCAAGAGACGGTGTCCTTCAGGTGGCGCGTGCGGATGACACGGAAGCGTGGCACCGCGGCAAGCGAAGCGCAAGCCGAAAAGACACGACGCCGTTCATCGGGGCGCAGCAGTTCGGTGGTTCCCTCCACCACCCACACCACCGACCGAAACGGCGAGACAGAAAGTAGCCGCCGTTGCTCGTAGTAGCGGGACGTCGCAATGCTTGCACAGAGGTCCTTTACTGTCTTGCGTTCCACAACAACAGAAAAGAGTCTTTGCGCAGGAGCATCCCCACACTCACCCGCAGCTGGGACGGAGTGGGTGGCGCCAAGACTGTCCAGTTCCCTCGCAGTTGGGGGACTGGCGTGGCTCCCACAGCTGTCACCGGGCATGTCGATCCCAATCATGAAGTCACCACATGGAAGCGTGCAGGATGCAGTGGGAACACCAGCCGTCGTGAAGGCTTCTATCACGCGCCCATGGGCACCGTGGATGCGCTCTCGGTTGTCAACAAGAATTCGCCATTGGTATCGCGAGACCTTTTCCTCTGAAGCAACGTGTGCCAAGGACCCACCAACGCGATCCTCGCGCTTCGCTTCCTGTCTTGGCGCAGCAACAAACTCTTGTGGGGTGCCCACGAGCCTGCGTATCCGTGGCTGATCTCTTGGGCGCGGTGACGACGGGCGGCTGGTAGATGGCGATCGGAACGGTGTTCGCAGCCGCTGCGAGTGTTCGAGCTGCTCCTCGTGCGTCGACATGAATCGCCCGGGCAGAGCACCGCCACATTCCCCACTCTCCACCGGCTGTTCTGCCTGCCCCTCGCCGTCCCGCTCCGACCATGGCACCGGTCCCGTCGGCTGCGACACACCGTGCTGACGCAGCCGGGTGAGGAGGACATTCTTTGTGCCGGTTGTCAGGAGGCCGCGTGAGGCGCACCTCGACCGCAGCTCCCTCAAGCTGAGCTTCTCCGCCGTGAGCTGGGCGTCGGCGTCGCGGCGAGTGATGGGCGGCAACGGACAACCCGCGCAAATTTCCCTGCGGGGAGAATGCGACAAGTCTGGCGGCGTGAGAAGGAAACACTCGCCGTCCTCGGCGCCGGTCGGTTTGTCGGTGCCCTCGCCCCTCCCCAGCGGCCGCGGCAGCGACACACTGCTCTCCAGACGCCGCAGCTTAAAGCAGCGGAACGGCGAGTGCATTGCCACCGCGTGGTCTTCAGCCCACGATGGGCTGGGCGGCGGCGACAACAAGTCCAACTCAGCGCCAGCGCACTCGGGTGCTTGGCAGCGTTGCTGCACGCCGCAGCAGTACGCGCCGACCGCCCTCACGGCGTCTGTGGAGCAGCCATGCAGCACCGTGGCTGCCGCGCCGCTCGTGACCGGCAGCGGGTAGCGTCGCACGGCGGTGCAGAACTCCGAGAAGCGCCCTGGCCACGTACGCTCCATGTGGCGAGCCAGCAGCTCGTTGTGCGTTACGCAGTGGTGGCGCATTGCACACGCAGCTCCACCCCTAACAAGCTCCTCCCCTCCCGCCTTCCAGCAACCGCTGCCGCCAGTCACATGCACAAAGCATATAAAAGAGACAAAAAAAGGAAAGAAAGAAGACAGGAAGATGCACACAGCACAACGAGCAACCGCACGTAGTGGCAGAGCACAGGAGGAAAAAAAGGGTGGGGACGGGGGTCAAGTGAGAGCTTTCCACTTCTCGTGTCTTGCCGATTTACTCCTTCCTCTTCTTCCATTGAGACGCACACCCGTAGTGCCGCATATTTACATGCGTGCGCCTCTTCGGTCCTCCAGTTTTCCTTCGTCACAAAAACACGCGCACAATGAGAGGCAAATGCGTAAATTAGCCGCAACCCGTCCTTTCTTCGCCCATTACACCCACGGCAAAAAAGAGGGGAAACGGCCTCCTTTACTTCCGACGCACACCCAACAGCGTCAGCTAATGCTTAAAATAAAATTAAAAAAAAAAAAAAGAAAACTTAGGGCACGTATACTTAATTTATTGGCTCGTCCCACTGACGATTTATTCCCTGCTTACACACGCTCCCCCTTGACGCCGTCCTTCCAGTAGTAGAAGTACGGCACCTCGCCGTCCCACTTGCAGAGCACAATCATGCCGTTGTCGGGGTCCTCCTCGTTGCCCTCGGGGATGAAAAACTGGTACTCGTCAATCTCCTTGATCACCCTCTTCACAAATGCCGCGGCATTCGCCTGGAACTTCTTCTTCTCCTCCTCGTCCTCAATCCTCTCCAGGAGCTGCTTCATGTAGCCGCGGATGTGCGCCATGTACGAGTTCTTGTCGTAGCTGGTCTCGGTGTAGCGGTTGTTGTGCACCACATCCACAACGCGCTGCCTGCTGTCATCGACTTCGCCCTTCGCGCCCTCGCCGGCGTCCTCGTCCACATTCGCCGCAATGCCGTAGTCCTCGCCGCCCACCTCAATGTAGCTGCCCTTCACGACGTACACAATTTCGTCCTCAACATCCATGGGCCTGTCATTGTCGCAGACAACCTCGGCGTTTGTCAGAATATCCTTGAAGATTCTCATTTTCCTTCCCCTGGTTCAGCTGTATGTTTGCTTGTGTGTGCGTCTGTTTGTGCTTTTGTGCGTGCTCGTGCAACTCAACTGCACGTGGAAGAGCAGGAAAAAGAATATTTGCAAAAATGAAAAAAAGGTGCAATAACTCCCTCCCCACCGACACCCACACGCAATTGTGCCTCTTTTCATGTATTGAAGAAAGAGTCTTATTGGTCATCAAAGCGTGTGTGCGCCGCGGGAAATAAAGGCCCTTATGCGTCACACAAGCAGACAGACCCAGCCTCTGCAGCGTTGTTGACTGTGCGGATGCACAGATGTATGTATGCGTACAGGGAATAGGCGTGGCTGCTAACAAACAAATGGCCTTGCCAAGGGTGATTTATTGTTGGTTTCTTCTTTCTTTTCTTTTCTTTTTTTGCCTGCCCTCCTTACTTTGTTTTTCTTCCGTTTTAGGGTTTTAATCAGAGCACATTTAACAGTTAAACAAAGAATTCGCATTGACGATTATTGCGAAAGAAATACGTCGCGAATGTCAGTGGTGGTGGTGTAAACAAGCGGCTCACCACGGCTACCGCAGGCACCAAGAATATGTGGTGAGTTTGGGTGAAATGCCAGCGACAGAACTGCTCCTGTGCGATACGAACGTGAGACGATCTGAGTTGGTGGTCGAGACGCGTCACGTGCATCCCAGAGACTAATGTTGCCATCCTTGCCTCCCACAGCAAGCAATCCGGCAATGTGCGGCGATGCGGCAAACGTGGCATCGGCCTCGTGTACCTGCAGCTGCCACAGGGGCTTTGCATTCATGCGCGCCTCAAACGCCATCCATCCACCATTGCTCGTGGATGCGTAAATAATTCTGCCGCCATGCGGGGCAAACTCCACATGTTCAACAACCCCATTCGTGGCAAATCTTATTGCCGCCTGGTTGGGCGAGCGACAGTCGCGCAGCACCGCCGTCGCGTCAAAACCGCCCGAAAGCAACAGGTTCGCCTCCTCGCGATGCCAGTCAAGGCTCTGCACTTTGTCTGGCTCCGCGTACGTTCCGGCACAAGTGGACGTATTGAGGTCCCACAACTTGATGCTGCTGTCCGCGCTACCAGAGGCTAGCATGTGTTGCGCACATGTGTTCCATCGAACGCTGATTACCGCATCCTTGTGCGATTCCTCCTTCAGCATGCGGGTCTTGATGCTTTTCCTGTAGTTATCCTCCCAATGGATGCAGCCTCCCAGGAGGCAGACCGGCTCCACCGCATCAATGACGTCAAGACTCCAGACTTCCACAAACGGACGCATTGTACCAACGGCGCAAAGAGACATTGTGCCGTCTGTAAGCCACGTCGTACTCAAGGGAAACGCGGCAATCTCCACGTCATGGTGAACGTACATTGTGTCCTCTGGTTCATCATAAATGTAGAGCTCCAGTCGTGGTTGTGAAGCCTCCGCAGAAGCGGTGACAAAGACAATGTCTGTCTCTTTGAAGGTCGTGTCGTTGACTTCGTCCTCATCGTCCGACTTCACCTGCTCTAAAACGGTGTCGACACCCCCGCCAAACTGCATATTGTCAACACCGTCGCCACTGTCGTCATCACTGCTGCAGAATTCACCCTGCACTGGCGGCCCAGTTTCGCCCGCAACTCCTGCTGCCTCTTCCGCCGCGCATCCGGGGTTCTGCCGTCGCAGTTTTGCCCGCACCGTCTCCAAATTCTCTGTGGAGTGGATTGGAACAGGCCTCATTGCACCCTTCGGTACCCAAGAGAAAGAAGTCAGCATTTCGTGTTTGCCTGAAAGCAATTACGAAGGAAAGAGAGGCACCTCGAGTCTTTTCTTTCTTTTCCCCGCCCCTCGTTCTAATGTGACTTCCTTCGCACTTCCCGTTCTCCTCTCCCGTCGGAGGAAAAGGCGGCGGCATGAAAAGAAAGGGATACATAAGAAAAAAAGACGCACAAATAAATCATTTGAAAAAAGAAAAAAAAAGAGGAAGAAGAAGAAGATGCAAACCAAAAAAACGCACACTCTTCAACATCTTCACAAAGCACCGCATCTCATCTATTTTTTGTTCCTTCGCCCCACAAATACAGGGACAGAAACACACGCACACACACACACACTCTCTCTCTCTCGCTCTATCTTTATTTTCAGCCAGCTACAATTTGGACCGCATAAAACCCATCACACGGCCCATCAGTGAAGCAAATTGCCGTCGTATCTGAGGATTTATTCCGCCCCGTGCCGCCTCTTTGTTTTTCATGTTGCCACCGTCGTTGCGGTTTTTTCCCTTTTTACTCACCGCAACGTTGGCCGCTGACTGATCGGTTCTCTGTGATCCAGCCGCCTGCCTCACCCTATCGGCAATCACTGCCTTCCCAGAATATTCAGCGCCACTACGATGCTCAGAATTTTTTCCTGCCATCTCCGTGGCAAGTGTGGAAAGCGGATTCTGCTGAATGAAGCGCTGCAGCCTTTTCAGGGCATTCAGCTGCGCACCCAGCACAACATTGACCAGGACAGAGGGGACAAGACCCATCGGATGCACAAGGGCGACATAACTCACATGGGACTCCATGTTGCCCTTAGCATTGATGACCGGCCGCGCCAGAATGCCTGAGAACAACATGAGCGCACGCACATATTTGGACTGACGGGGATCAAGAGGCTCCACATATCCAAGTGGCGTGGAAAACGCCTTCACCCACACCGTTCCATCGTGGCGCACCTCCTCCGCCACCACCATCTCAAAGTCTCTGTTCTGCACAAGAAGGATGGGTGTGTGTATTGCCATATAATACAACGCGACACGTCTCTGCCCAGGTCGCAACTGCAGTTCGGCAACACTGTCTACATCTACAACGTTACTTTCACCCAACACCCCGCCCGGCCGTGGAAGAATTCGCACAGAGCGCAACTCCGCGATATAATCATCCCACCTTCGCCGTGTTGATACGTTGAGGTACGCCAATACTTCAGCTGGTCGGCATGGCAGCTCCACCTCCGCACGCATAAGGTGCATCGGGCAATCTTCAACAGGCCGGCTGTGCAGCGAGATTCCGCAGTCTTCATCCTGCGCGATGAGTTTGAAACCGGTGGCTGGTGCGTCGGCAAGAAGAAGCCGCTCCACGTCGATGAAGTTCACAGCCTCACGGTAGAGGCCATCGTCGTTGTCGGGGACCCCTCTCTTGTGGGACGCAAAACCAAGGGGAGATGAGGAGAATTCGGTCTTCCGCACAAGGTACGCCATTTTCCAGTTCCCGTGACGCGTCAGATGACGTCCCTCGACTCTCAGCAAAACAAAAAAATATAATAAAAAGTAAAAAATAAAAATGTTTACACGTCGGCGACGCTCCGCTCTCCCCCTCCCTACCACCGCACACTCTGGTGTGAGGGAGAAAAAAAAAAAGCAGAAATGAGTAAGAAATTGTGCGAGTGATAGATGAACGAAAAAAATAAAAACTAAAATAAAAGAAAAGAAGCAAACGGCTGGTTAACATGTGCGATGAGAAAGGTGTCGTAGGGCGAGGCAAAAAAAAGGGATGAACTCAGAAAAAAAACAACTCTCCAACCGCTCCAAACCCCCTTTTTTTCACTCATCCTGCTCAACCTCGGGAAAGATGATCGGCACCATTTCATCGCCACCACCAAGAGGCAGACGAAAAAGCAAAACATTGTCAGAAAGAGTAGTATACACATCTCTTGTAACAAGCATGAGTGTGAATATACATCGTGTTTCAATTCCGTTCCCCTCTTCTTTCCTTCTTCCTTTCTTCCTCTTCCCTTTTTTGCTGACTCCTCCCCCACATTGATAAGGAAGTCCTTTACATTGTGTTACTTGCATGCGCAAATGGCTTCTGCGGTAACCCCATTGAAGACGCATTGAGCATCCAAGCAAAGCTAATATTGCCTTCATTTGAAAGAACGCTCGGCTGCGGGAAAACAACAGGAATGAGTTCATGCCGAGCTGCAAAGGGCATCAGCGTGTTCCTCTTGTCGCAGCGTCTTTTCTCCTGCTTTTTTTTGTACTCCTCCACCCTCTCCGCCAGTTGGCGTCGGTTCTCAAGTGCCAGCTGTAGATCAACTTTTTCCTGCCGAGTTCGCCCCGATTTGGTCCGCCGAAGGCCTAACTGTGCGTCAGCCATAAGCAGCTCGTTGGCGTATTTGAAGAACTCGCCGTTGGCAAACTTCCTAGGCAGCACGGCCTCTAGTCGTCGTGTCATAGTCAACAATGCCATCCTCTTCTTTGGCGGCGACAGTGAGCCTGCCAGAAAGCCTTGATAAGGATTGCCCCCCTCACTTGGGCCTTCGGTCTGTCGATCAAGGGACGGCAACTGCGGGCGTGGTTCCGTGAAGAGTGATACGGAGCATCTGTTGGAGAACTTTTCACCCGGCCGCGGGCGGAATTGCGGGCGTCGCCCAGTGGCTGGCGCCATCGACGATACGCGGTCTATACCCTGTGAGGTGGAAGGAGCGCCACCCTCTTCATCGCCGGAGGGTATCGATGGGCCCTGCTTCTCATGCGTGCTTTGCGTGGCTTGTGCCACCGGAGGCTGCCTTGCGCTCTCCGTGGAGGATAAAAAAGATAACGACGGCACTTGAGTGACCTCCTCCTGCGGGTGGGAAATGTCCGTGAGGAAAAAGGGACGGGTGAGCATCCCCCTTGGCGATCCCGACGCAGAGAGGGGGGTTATGGCCTTTGTGCCTCTACGCGACCGCGCGCGGGACACACTAAAGTCGTCATCCAGCAAAGAGTCCATGAGGCTCCGCACACTCTCGGGTCTCGTTTCCGGGTGAAGGATGGTCTCCAGCAGCATTTCTTCCTCTGCGGTGTTGTTCGCCGGCACGCGCAATGCCGTGGGCGGTTCTTCGCTGAATGTCGTTGGATCCGAGAGCCTCCATGTATCGCGGCCAAAAGCGCCAACAAACTTCACAGCAGCCACAGAATTTTGCTGCATAGCCACGTTGGAAAACGGCGCATGCAAC